GGACTCGAAGAATAGAACAAGAGGGAGCTCGCGCTCCAAGAAGAAAAGTATCCGTGCGATGAAAATTTTAGCGCAAACCACCGTTCAGATTTGCGTTCTATCAGTCGCGGCATGATCGTTGGTTTCATAGTCGAAACTTCGCTGTAAATTCGTAATGGCGCGAAAAACGGGACAAGAGGCAGCTCGCGCTCGTGGCCAGGGTTGCACTAGAAGATGAGCCGCGCTGTTTAATTTGCGTAAGTCCAGAATCCGAAGACCAAGCCGAATTTTCGGATCGCGGCGCACGAGGGGCCCGGTGTGTGCCTTTCACGATGGGGCGCCGCGTGCCGCGTTTGCATCTGACATTAAAACCTACGTGGAATATTTCTACAATCCGCCAGTCGAATAATCCCAGTCATTGTCTAGGCTCGCGAACGCGCCCATCTCTCTGACGCCGCGATTTGTCGAAAAGTGGAGATTTCTATTCCGAGACCGATTGTACGTCCCAAAATTTATATGATAATAAAGGTGTTGCCTCGACATTTCCTCGTGAGGCGCAACACAACACTTACGTCATATGGCATGAAAAAAGAGACACTCTAACGTCGTCGAATCTCTTTCGTATCCCAACGACGTGATATGACTTCTGATTGCTTCATGAAGATCTTTCCCGCGGAATCTGCGGGATTGGCAAAATTAAAAAAAAAACTATACGAGTCGTCTCCCGGTCTGTCACGACGATATACGGCCGTCTCGAATCTAACAAGATCGTAAAACAGTTGTAAAATCGTTCGGTAAATCATTGGCTGATCCGTACAAGTCGCCGTCGCGTTTTAGCCGTTGGCGTGCACGTCAGCGCTCAGAGAGGCATTAATTAATCTTCCCGCTTGTCGCGACAAACGAAACGTTTACGCGCGTTTGCATCATTTAATCCTCAGCTCGCAAGCGTACCGATTCCAATAATTCAAACATTACGCCAGAAGCGTAATATTAAACATTACAGAATCGAACCAGATTATTTCTCCGAGAAGAGAATCCATTTTCTCCCTCTCTCCCTCTCTCTCTCTGTCCCTCATTCTCGACTTTATCATTCATCTACTCATTCTATCTCTTTCTCTTCTTTATCCTCGACGCACCCAAAAGTAACGACGATCCCGCGAGACCGTCCAGAGCCGCCGCGGCAACCGAAAAGGAGAAGTAGCCGAGTCCGAGCCCGCAGGTTGCGCAAGGCGGTCGCCTCGTGTGTCATTACGTAAGGGCGAGAACTGCAAGCCGCGCGGACCGTCGTTGCGACCGAGGAGGAAAATCTCCGGCGTGGAGATGCAATTGCGCTCGTGGTCGCGGACGCGCGCCGCGCCGGTGTACCCGCGGGTGGTCCCGTCCCCCCTCGGGTTGCCCATAGGTGGGCGCAGGTGGAGGCCACCCGAGGAGAAATGAAAAGTCAAGACGGCGTCAATTTGATGTCATACTGAGCAAAATATGACATAAATTTGGTCAATATGAAATTGACATCTTGATTTTCACTTCTCCTTGGGCACCTGTCGTGGCGCGGTACCGGGTGACACCGGTGCAACCGAACGGGGGTGGCGTCGTGCCGCTCGACGCGCTCCCGATCTAGAGCTCTTAGAGGGAGCAACGCAGGCGGCCGCGCCGAAATAAACTTTCCCGGGTTATGTAAAGGCTGGCGTCTCCGCATCGCGTGGACTGCGCCGGTATAAAGGTCGGCTCTGCCCCCAACGGTCCAAGAGTTGCTCGCGAACTTCACGCCGGCAACCATCGGGAGAGGCGAGAGCTCTACATGTGACCGCTGCTCGTGGTGCCTTGCCTCCTTTGCCTAGCGTCTATTCCGCTTAAACGCACCCACTCGGCTCAGGGGACGCTCCTCCGTTTCCTTTTCCGCGCACCGCGATCGTATAAACGCGCGAGCATCGTCGAGCAACATGCGTACCCTGGTAAGTGCTGCTCTTCCTCGAAGGCCACCCTGGATCCCACGTGAGAGACCAAAATATTCAAATATTCTCGCCTGACTCATTTCCGATGACGAACCTTTGGATTTACAAACCGTAATACAGTCCGTTCGATTCGCGATGAACGTAGCGAAATAAATAATTTATGAAAACAGCGAAAAATACACAGGAAAGTCGATGATACTCTTTTTCTTCTCTATGGCAAATACGATCGACAGTCAGTTCGTAGTAATATCGGGGAAGCATTAGAATAAAATGAAATTGGACAAAGCTATTTCTTTCTTCGCCGCTCGGATATTAAGGTGATATCTGCGTGTACAGTTTTACGTGGAAAAGACGTAATAACATTTTTGCCTAACGAATGCATGAAGCTAACTTTCGCGTAACATATGCATGAATATAAGTTGTAATTTTACTGGGACTCTGTTCAGAAGGAAAAGCTTTTATGTGTAGCGCAGATAAAGTATGATGTGCCACTGCATTTTCGTAACTTTACGAGGCTTTACTTTATCTGGGTCACGGGGAAATACACATAAATTACGGATATAAAATATGCACAACATTTTATATTTGATCCTTCTCATAATAATATTAAACGTTACATTAAACCTTGACAATATGAGTAAAATAGATTGCCTCGGGCTCGTATTCGTTTCGCCATCATCAATATATTCATCCCAAATTGGCGCTATTAAACAATGCCTTTTATTTATTGTTTAAAAGTCATTTATCCGTGCCGGTCTACTTTCGTTATTCCACCGTGCAGCTACGATAAATCGTCCGGTTAAAAAAAATTACGTCGATAAAAACGCGGGGCCATAATTTCTCCTTGCGACAAGTCCTTCGCGAAAACATGGCGAGCGCGTTCAATTTTCGCATATATTTTCGCATTAGTCACACTCGGTGCGTTTAATTTCCATAACAATAAACACGCGCGATCGTTGATTTCTCGAAATCGCGAAGTCGAAGTTGATCGCCCGTACATATTTATGATCGGCCGTGCGTGATTTAACGTTACGTGTGCGTACGGTGGGGCTATTCATCATCGCACGAAAGTTACGCGGCGCAAAACGGCCATTGCAACATTGCGCAATCTATTTAAATTACATAACTCATTAAATCTGCGAAGCTCGCATAATGGCGATATTGTCGCGCGCATCTTGCACCGACGACGACCGACGTCGACCATGACGAACGAGCCGTTAATTTGCATACACGTACATATTTTCTAATTGTCTACTTTCTCTGTTGAAAGCACAAGCTGGCTGACTAATCCGAGGCATCTGTACGACATCTTAGCGGTATATCATTGTTGATCAACAATGTTACCGCGGATTCTGTCAGTTTCCCACGCAAGTCGCTCATTATATCAACGTATCAAAAGCGCGTTGAGCGAGCGATAATCGCGATAGAATGTCAAAAGTGCAAAACGTCATAAAATGTAAACTGATAGACGTTTAAACGTTAACACATATCTTTCATTTTACTAACAAGCATCCGAATAATACCGCATTGTCATGCAATTATCTTTGTCCACTCGGTAATTTTGAATATATTGAATCTAAATTGCGATTATTAAGTTAACATTAATTATTAATTTCATTAATTATTGATATTGTCAATAACATTAACCGTATAAGATTATGATTCATTACATCAAGGGGATGCGCTCATTTACATCGATTGTTCGCGCCGCACGGTGAACGGTGGCGGGAATGCTGGACCGGCACAAAACGAATCGGTCTCGGTCATCGGATGCTAATCGAGGACCCATGGCTATGGGAAAGAGTCACGTTCGTTCGTGAGCAACGTAATACGGCGTCATTAGCGTGCGAGGTACCCTCCCGTTCCCCTAACCGATCGCAATCGCGACCTACCTACCGACACATTCATCTTGGCCTGACCTTTCGCGGGGAAAGGTATCTCCGGCGGCTTTACAAACATGACGAGGATTAAAGCACCTGGTGTGCAGACGCGCGCCGGTTCTCCACGTCGCGGCCGTGCACCATCACCAACACCCAGAGTACCTTCTAGAGATGGAGACAGCACGTCCCGATCTTTCGCTCCGCTCAAATGAAATCGTTCCGATTGATTCGCGCGCGTGTCCGTTGAAATATTCGCGAGATAACGCCGGCCACTTTCCTCCATTGTTTCATGCGGCCCTTCACGCCTTCGACAAGTCTATAAAAGTGAATTTAGTGTGAGTCGTAAACGCTCGTCGCGGAAAGTCTGCGTATTTATCACTCGAGCAGCTACGAGCGCGAATCCGTCGCCGAGAAGGACGCCCGGTGTTATCGTCGCCTCGTCCTGAAAATAACGCCTCGTCCGTTATTCATTTACCGCGATGATGTAATTAACTCGGTAATGACGTCCGAGAAATCATCAATCAACTGCTCGAATCATTTTTGATGATAAGCTTCTTAGCCCGAGAATTGCGCAAATCTCAATTTTGAATTATTGCAAACTGAATAGAATATGTATACAGATTAACGATTGACGTGGATATTTAAAAAATTGTAAAAACAAATTCGTATTCTTTTAATGAATGACTAATAAAAACTGTACATGAAACCATAGAACGTGTAATGTTTAAAAAAATCTCTTTATGAATCCCACATTTTATAAAGTCAAGTCATCATAATAAATTTGAACAAAATGTGGATAGCTAACACTCAAAAGAATGTCATGCCAATGCAGGCAGATTTCTAGGTGTCGCAACAAAAATTTATCGCTGTTTCGTGTATCCGTTAGAAAATTGCTTGTAGCCTACACAATTTATAGCGGTAACATTATAGTAAAATCTTCTAAACGATGAAATAAAACTTCTTGTTGACCCAACTGGGAATATATATATTGCCAGTTGGATCAACAAGAAATTTTATTTCAATTTTTATTCGTCACTAGTGATTTTTTAAGTATACCCCTCTACTTGGTCTTCTAAAAAGTTTAGATTTCATGACTAAATACTAATCATTCACATTGGATAAAAATGGATTTCGGTACCATAGCTAGAACAATCTTTGTAAGGAATCTAACTGTTTATGTACCACAATCAAACGTTATAACGCATGGGTGCCACAGAAAGACTTTCTTCTTGACATTCGCTAACAATTCAGATAGAAATTCTATTACTGTTATTTAAATTGACTAAATACAAAACACGTGCGATTTCGCAGTATTGGCCATTCATTTATATGTATACCTCAGTTATTTTTTCGTACTTAGAAAATTGTTGCTGCAAGATCGTTTTTTAAACGAATGCTGCGTATTGATTTGAAGACTCGCGAAAATATGTTCTTAATGCATAGAAACAATTTCTTAGAGGTACACAGAAAAAAAAGTGTCAGATCAACTCTTATAGACTTGAATTAACGCGTTCATTGTTTTGTATATATGCAACAATCTGCAATCTCCGTAGAAGCATTTAATAATCTTACATTCCAACGATATTACAGTCATATTTAAATATTATAATTGTCACTTTAAGAATACATATAATTATTTGGACAATAAAATCATCTTAATCATTATCATCCTCGATTTGAAGATATGTTAATTGCTATCCATTTCGTTTTCTTTCCATTCAAGAAAACTATTCTTAAATAACAAGCATATATTTTCTTGATTGAATTCTATAAAATCGCCTCATTCAAGTAAGTTTTTCATCCTTTAACGCAATACAATTTCATTTCAAGACTTTCACGTTGAAGCTAAACATGAAACATATTTTCAAAAGAAGAATATCCTTATTGTCTGTGTACCAGATATGAGAAGAGAAGAATACTGACTCTACATCTCTTTGCTTTCAGTTGTTAGCGGCCCTCCTCGGGCTGGTCCACGGCCAATACTTCCAGGAGCCGGAGAAGATCGTGAGCTACTCGCGCGATCTCGGCGACACCCGCGGACATTATTCGTTCGCCTACGAGACCGCGGGCGGCATACTCCAGCGGGAGAGCGGCAGCCGCAAGTACGCCGGCACCTCCGACGAGACGCAGCTGATTCAGGGTTCCGTGCAGTACAACGCGCCGGACGGTACCCCCATCGCCATGAGCTGGACCGCCGACGAGTTCGGCACCCAGGTGTCCGGCACTCACATCCCCACCCCGCCGCCGATCCCGCCGGCGATCCAGCGTGCCCTCGAGTGGATCGCCAAGCAGCCCACCACCCCGGAACCACTCGAGAAGGACAATCCGACCCAGAACGCGGTCCCCCACGACAATCGCCAGTACCGATTATCCTCGAATAAACGAAATTGAACGCGAACGCGCGCGCGCGCGCGCTAAGTAACGTTAAGTCCGTCCAACGCCACTGCCTGTCCCTCTTGCCGATTTCGTACGATACGCATTTGAAATAAAAATTTCCATACTTTTATAAAAATTACGAAAGAATGTGAATCGCCAGTAGTTAATTAACAGTAAACAGAATTGTTAGACATTAGGCCGGCAGACGGTTTATTTGTTCGATTCCGACGTTTCGACCACACGGGTTGTGGTCCTTTTCACGCAATTTGATAATAAATATTACGTCATCGATGTTAAATTAATAACGGAGGTTTAATATCTATCTCTGGGCGTCACTCGGAGAACTGTGTTCGAAAGTACATCCATCCGACGTAACGACCGCAGTAGGACATCAGATGATGTCAATGGATGTGGGATCTGGGCGTCAATGGATGTCAAACCTCCGTTTTTAATTTAATATCGATGACGTAATATTTATTATCAAATTCCTCGAAAAGGACCGCAACCCGTGTGGTCGAAACGTCGGAATCAAACAAATAAATCATCTGCCAGCCTAATGTCGTCTAACAATTTTTTTTACTGTTTTTTTATAAACATTCCCGAGAGCACTGTCTCAGCAGAGACGGATCCTGTTGGGAGCTGCTTTCTTTCTACAGCATCCCCGTATCAGGGGCGGTTCTACGGATAATAGCGGCTCGTTCTATTATCGTATGCTTTCTCGTAGTTTGCGCATGATCTCATAATCAAACGCATATGGAAAAAATTATTTTTAAGATTAAAGAGACGAATCTTCGTTTTATTATATAAGCACTCCTTTTGTTATTGTCGTCGAGAACTGAAGTGGATGATCTACATTCGTCATGTAACATTCAAGCGTGTGTAAACAATGGCGTAAATAAGTGAGTATATACACGTACACTGAGATTATTTGATAAGCGCGCTTCATTTTTTTACACGTGCCTGCCTCTTCTTAAAATATAAGTTCCGTCGAACAAATTTAGTCAGCAACCATCCGTTATTCCTAAGCTGTTCACAATGCAGCGAAGGCAACAAATGGACTGCATTTATTCATTTCTTATACGCGCATTATTATAATTTGGTCATGTAAATTTTGTCCTTGATCATTTAAATTTAAATAATGACATAGCGTGTTCCGTGCAAATTTATCTCGTCTATGGAATTGCGTCTATAGGATTTTTTTTTTGACGTCACGCAAAACTCAAATGTCAGAAGACACGATTAACATTCGTGATAGAGACGCTAATTACTAGATACCATATCTCCATAAATTAATAGAACATAAAAGATTCTCTTGTAAAAAGAAAAAGTACTGTGCACGAAGAAATTTGCGCACCGCGCACCAAACTTTCCGCAACTTTATAAACGTCCCAGCGCCTCGCTAACGCGCCTCTCGTTAAAAATATCGTTAACGTGATTGATGAGCATTTCGTCTGTCCACTCATCCCACCTCTGATAAGCGCCAACAAAACTTGCACATCAACGAAATTTATTTACAGCATATCATCGGGATTCTGTCCGTATACAGATGTTGTACAAAAAAAAAATGAAAAATTTATACAAGCGCGCATAAATATGGAAATAATTACGACGCGAAGGGCCGAGTCTGTCGAAGCCGCCGGTCTACACGGGGATTGATGACGATGACGATCAGTTCCCAGCCAGGCCTCTCCCAATTGCCTCATCTTCTCGAGAGACTCGTCGATCCTATATTCTCTTTCCGTCATACATTTTCATTCGGCGCTCTTTCGTTCGTGATGTTCTTCGTTCTGCTCGGGATGCTCGGCGATGTATTGAAGGGCCCTCAGGACGTGAGGTGGTACCGGGGGCGCAATGGGCAAATGAGCACCCTCTGGCTGAAATCCATTCTCGTTGGCTATGTACGAGACATGGTAGGTCTGGCCGTCATCGCCAGTGTAGCTGTAGCTGCCGTGTGCCTCCAGGGCCTCGCTGTCGGTACCGGCATTGTTGAGATGACCTTCTTCCTGAACCTGAATACCGTTACCGGTCTCGTAGCTGTAGTTGTAAGCTCCGTCGGGGTTGGGCCCGTCCAAGGCTTGCTTGACTATGGGGATCGGGCTGGTGTTGTCGACGGGGGCGGCGACCGCCATTGCCACGAGGGCGCACAAAGCGATTACCTGGGAAGACGAAGAATTTTAAGATCCTTTGCGTCCGTATTGTAAACTTTAAGTTTGTTTTCGCGTTAAAATAAAGAAATTTTACCGATAAGTATATAATAGAGTATTGAAAGAACAAAATTATTGTTAACATGATCTATTTTCATCCTACACAGTATCTTACGTAATGTGGGGAAGTATGTCTCCCTTTAATAATTTATAATATCCATCGCATTGCAATAAACTATATTGATCAATCCAGAAATTTTGACGTCTCGATTAAATATCTTTTTATCATTAGAAGAAAACTTTATAAAGATAAAATGTAGAAAACAAACTAATTATATGGCTTACTTTTTACATTAATTATGCGTCTTGTAAGATTTATTGTAACACTTGTTCTTATTCATTTTAACTTACGAAATTAAACTAGCACAGTTTATGAGTAGTAAAAATTAAATAGTTTAGCAGGATAGTTGATTATATTTTAAACAGAAAATAAAAATTTTGCACTATACGATTGTCTGACCGAGTCTCTATGTCTAATCAAACCGCTTTGATTTACAAAAGCCACTCAAAGTACAAAAATACCGCAGATTCGAGGTCACGTCTACGGATATCCCGTGCCACTGCGTTACGTAATGTCCTTCATTCGCACAAAACTCAAACTCACCAGAGGATTCATGTCGAAAAAACAAAGATATATTTTATTTTCCCTGAAGCTGCAACTCGGAAGCTTCTCATGCACTGACTTAACATCTCATGCACGTCTTCCGCTTTATATATCCTCCACCCGAACATTCGGGGACCTTCTGGTAATACCTTATTTAGACTCCCCTCCATCCCCTGGGTCCCCTTGTTCGTTCCCCCACTCGAATGAGCCGTAGTACACATCCGAATTTTGCGGATGAGCTGAACGCACGCACACGCACGCAATTTTATCTCCTCCGGAGGACTTTGAAGTCATACGTGTGCCTAAAACATCAAAAGGTCGACATCTCAATTTAGCAAAGAGGTGAACTCATCCGCTTAGAATAGAAACTAAATGATTCTGTCACCGTGGAAAAAAAAATAGCATGCATTTTAACAGCCCCACGTCAGAAATTGCAGTTAAAAGTGACGACAATTACCGGACGAGTTGCCGCCAATGCTAACTGCATTCGATGAATGATTCGTATTTTAAGAATTCGCAAATGTGTGAGTATAAATCAAATATACAATCAAGAATGAGGTCACTGCGGATATCATAAAAATGTCATAAAATAGCTCAATTTAAAAAATGTCAAAATAAAATATTTTTCTGTGATATTCTGTAGAAAAAGAAAAACTCGATTTACTTCATTCCACCGATAATATATATTTTATGTTTCTTGTATTTTTGGAAACTATTCTATGCATACACGTTGAATATTTCTCTATATACTCTGTATATACTTAAAAACGAGTATATCTTCTTCACAAAATTATTCATGCACATATTCTTTTTTTTGGGGGGGAGATTTTTATGTACCCATGCTGATAAATATTTTTATCCTTAAAAGAATGCATAATGCTAAAAGTTTTTTGTGATTTTTATTGATAATCACGATTTCATTTCTCAGTCAGGAATTTATCTTTACCATTTTTCATATTTTACATTTACTACCTGTGATTTGTCAGCATTAATTAGCAATGTAGAGTTCATTTTGAATATATCGCGATATTAATTATCACGTGAAATATCTATTTTTTAATTTTAATTGCCTCAAAAAATGAATATTTTAAATAATAATGAAGACTACGAAAATATGAAAATTTTATGTAAAGTTTTTTCACGTTTATTATTTATCTAAAAAATTTCCTAGCGCACAAACAAAATTTTTAGCTTAATTCCAATATATTCCAAAAATATAAATAATTTAATTTCTAATTCCGAGATATAATAAATTATTGGAAAATGTTTAAAATAGGTCACTTAAAGCTTTCAGTACAATACAATAGAGACAGAATTTTGTGGTAATTTTTTAAAAGCAGCGATATTTAAGGGAGTATTTCTGTATGACATTTTGTAATTATGCGGTTTCATGTGGAAAAAAAACTTTATATAGTGTTGCAAGTCTTTTCAAATAATCCCTTGTGTGACCATTATAACCATAATCGCCTGAATCATGATTAATAAAATGTAACAGTTCTGACATTCCTGAACATACACTCGAGGAAAAAATTCTGTCTTAATTATACATGAGATCTTTCAAAATGCAAAGCAGAGGAAGATATCGCAGTTGCTGCTAAAAGCAGATGAAGTCATGACAGAGTTTTTTTCTCGCCCAAAAAGATGCAACGGGCGACGATGAACACGTCATTGGAACATAAAAACAGACCGATACACCTGTGCTAAAGGACAACTGTGACCATCGAGAAATCCACATATTCATGATATGTTAAAAACATATCGCGCGCGGTAGGATATCAATATAAATCATCAGTAAGATATCAATATAAATCATCGTATTTAGATTGGACTACTGTAGCTACTCCCGTATGACACTCGCGATATTTCTCTCGTACATTAGTTAATGAAGGAACGTCTCGCACGTGCCTGTTGAGTCAGAAATTCCAAAGGTACAGTGAGTGTCTCACGAATCGTCTTCGTCGTGTCGTGAACACGTAAGTGCCGCTAATTTTCTCGCGTAAGTAGGTACATATTAACCTACGCTCGCGGCACAAGTGAAAGAACGATCATTAGGTTGGTCAAACCATCCTTGCTACCGTTCGCGACGACACGTAACTCGCTTGGTCACCATTTACAGATTGCTTGTGCCGCACGGCATTATTCCGCGCGTTTATTCTACTGGCTGAACTCATGGCCGGGCAGGTCGCAAAATAATTTAGCCGGCGTAGCGGGAAGTGGCAACTTATCGGATGCAAATGACATGTATCTCTGTGTTAAACGGTATGTATTATAAATGCATATATTTTATTTCGCTCGAAATATTATATAATTCAAAAGCGCGAAAGAGTATATTTATCGTTGTGTTTAACTTTTTCTTTCGGAAATTAACATCTCTTATCGATATATTGTATCGAAATTCCCTGGTTAATTTTTAATTATATTTACGTCACTATTATATTATAATTATAACGAATTATTATTGAAAGGATTATTTAATATGCAAAAGAATATGTATTAGCATATTAAATGTATCGTGTACATTAAAAAAATTATTATTGCGTAAATTATTTTATTGTGTACGAGACAAGGGAGGAAGAGAGAAGATATTCCCGCGATAAATTAAGCTTACGCGTTACGCAAATGTGCGAGAAAGTAAATCAACGGAAGGTACACAATTTGAAGATGGAAAAACTGGAGATAAGTGGAAATGGAAGGTAAATTAACGACGCGCGCGCGCGTGGAGAACGTGTTCGCCAGGCATTCGCGGAGTAATTGTTTGAGAGAAATTATTTGGGAAGGAGCGAGGCTGTGAATTATCTGTGGACACGCATTAACGTTTGTCTCTTGAGAGATTTACAACGTGCACACGCCGATGGTATCGTAAAATAATAATATTATTTAGCAACGGTAACTTTCAGTTTTGAGTAACACCGCCCGCGGGCTATCGCGCGACCTTCGAACACGTGGTGAACACCACGCGAGCAGTTATTGAACGGTCATTACTATCAGGCGGACACGGATATTAATTAGGTAAAACATACGCGTTTAAGTCTTCGAAAGAGTAAAAGGCATCATCCTTCTCGAGGAATGTGCTTAGAGCCTTACGTTAGGAAAGCACAGGGAAAGAGCGACGATTGAATCGAACGACAATTAATCCCAACTTGGTGGAACCACGTCGATAGTAACGAGTGATGAGTTACTTCTGTACTAAATTGACGCTGAAAAGAAGTTTGCTACAGTAGCTAATCATGGTTTGCTAAAAATGTTTCGCTGCTACAACTGTAAATTTCTAAACCACAGCAAACGGCCTGCTGTTACACCTAATATAACACAGTAGCAAAATATTTAGCTACCACAACTAAATATTAGCTGTCTATATTTTACAATTACTGAAATTTAGTTGCTACATACAGTTTTTGGGCAACTACATCTTTCTTTCCGTGTAGGATGTGTATCTAGCGAATTCGCCTAACGTCTCTGATCGCCGTTGTTTAGCGTCAAGGTTGCCGATGGATCACCTCCGGGAGCATCTCCGGGAGATTGGGCTGCGTAACAATTGCGACCGTGTGATTTTTACTCGAGTCGCCGGATGGTCGAAGGTCAGGATCCGCCCAGGAGCAACGATGTTAGACGCCTAATAGAATCCCGATAAGATTCGCCGCACCGCCACCTCCGCCTCCCCCTCCCTCCTTCTCCTTTTTGCGCCTCGCAATGTGTTTCGCAATGAAATTAAACCGTGCGTACACACGGTCTCTAATTTCCAAATTAATTGCGCGCCAGTACCCGCCTTTGCGTCCTCGTTAGTCTTCTCTCTGCCGAATTTCAAGACGCGGATACGATAGGTACGCTTGTTAAATTAATCCCGAATAGGCTCGGCGCAGATTGTGACGCAAATGAACGACAAGTTGCGCAGCTACCTCAGCATATGCTTGATTGTTCACGGGATTTCAAGACCGTCGAAGAAAGACGCGTCCTTCGCGTGGACAAAGATCGCTCAATCGCGTTGTTAGTCGCGAGGTCAGCGGATCGAAGTTAAAGGACGGGTTACCTTCGTAAAAAATAGCAAGAATAACACTTACATCTTATCCAAATTAATATATAGTTATAATACATTACTACACTACAATATGTTTATATTACATATTATACTATTAACGTATCAATATTGTGGCGCACAATATGATAATAATGGTATAAGAGTTGTACCTTTATACTGAATGTAACATGAGATGCACGGGATATGTTAATAATTATTAATACTCATTACTCCGTCGTTGCTTCGAGTTTTCATTACAAAAAAAAAGATATACGGCCAATTAATCGCGACTGACCGACGCTCGGAGGTCTTGTTTCTCCCGCTCCACGTAATGGAGTAAGACGCGCCATTATTTCGTGCCGCGGAGAGGAGGCCATTCCCACTAACCCAAATACTGCGGCGCGGCATTTTTACTTTCACGGCGGCAGATGAGCCAAACTCCACTTGAGTTGCTTCAACGGACTGTTACGCAGTCGGGTGATTAAGGAGCCGCGGACGGCGGACCCCATGACAATTCATCACCCGATACTTCGCGGATAGACATGTCCGGCGTGCGTGTTCGGCCAACGTACCCGGTGCAGAGAGAAAGAGGAGGGCTATGATGAAAAATGGTACCTCACGAAATTATCGAATGACGCGAAATATGAAACCCTGTTTCGCGCCACTGGTCAGTCAGTTGCGACGCGAGAGAGGGTACTCCGTTATCCAAATATCCCGGCATAATTTTCATCTAGCCCGCTGAAATCTAATCGTTGAACGTGAGACGATGAACGAGAGAACGCGATCTTGAAGAAAGAAGAAGAAGGAGCTGCTCTTAAACAGATAAGAAATCCCAATTTTTTTACTAACTTGATGAGTAGATTTGCCTAACTCTGGTTTGATAGTTTCTTAGATCCTACACGGAGAAACAAATGCTGTTGAATTAAAAACAACCGAGGTTGCTTGAATTAAACGTTAACGTCACGGGCTGCCACAAGCATAAATAATCCACTCAATTGTGTTTGCTATGGATTTAAATTTTAAGCATCGAACTAAATATCCAGATTATTAAGACAACCCGACGTTTCTCATTCATTAATACTGATGTTTTAACGACTTTATTTCAATTACACTGATTTTGTTAGTACATCATTTTTTCCGTGTACACGGAAAAAGTAGCTACCGTAGCTGAAAATTGCATGGGTAACTTTCAGTTGTAAAATATGGACAGTTAATATTTAATTATGATCGCTAATACTTTGCTACTGTGCCTGTTGTATTACGTAAGACAGCAAACCGTTTGCTGTAGCTTAGAAATTTATAGTTAATGCAGTAAAATATTTATAGCAAATCATGATTAGTTACAGTAGCGAAAAGTTTTCTTCAGTGTATAAAATCGTACTGTATCGCTGAACGCGAGAAGATGAACAAGAGAATTGTAACAATTTGATGAAGGAAAAAGAAGAAAGATCTGCTTTTAAATCGAAGCAGATAAAGTTCAGTTTTTTACTAACTTAATATATTATTCGGCTAATTCTATTTCTAATAGCCTGTTAGATCCTAAAAAGAAGACCGAGAAGATCAGTGCATCAGCAATGCCTCGGGGAACGTTAATTGTTCATTCATTTCATTTGTTTATGGTAACTTGTATTTCTTAATTCGTGTTGTATGTACATAGATTGTGAAATATCCTTGTGCCAGTGAATATCAACTAACAATTACATAACATCAATATTACCATTTCTCAACAATATAAATGTCAATGTAATACACATATTGTACATAACAGTTACGTTGTTGAGTAGAAGAAATTATCCCAGCAAACACCAAAGTAACAGTTACATAACATCAATGTAAATGTAATATAACACGCGTGTTATTATATATTACATTTACATTGATGTTGTATTGATGTTATATACTTTGGTGTTCGCTGGGATAATATTGACGTTATATAACTGTTAGTTGGTATTTACTAGGGTTCTACGATTTTCTTCACAAGAAAATATGACAGTTTATTATATATTTAAAAAAATCAATTTTATTATTACAGAGATATATTAAAATTTCATCTTTCATTCGTGGCGCGATCTATGGTACCTTTCACTTACTCTCTGACTTCTTATGATCGTTAACATCCAGTCGGCGTCAGAAATGACAAATACAATCATGATTACTGTTAGCATCGTTAATACTCAATTTCCAAAGAGAAAGGAGACTTGTAGATTTTATTAGCGATACGACATACTCGATTTCATTTGTTTTCGCTATAACTATCTTTCATTCGAAATATAAGGCCTCGCAAGAGATCTTTCGAGTCCCAATTCTGCTTTATCGGTAGAAATCGGCAAGAAATCCTGCAAGAAATCAGCTAGATGACTCAAACTGACGTTTCGGTCGCGGCTCTCGTCGAGAATGGATCTAAACTGATGACGGTAACCATCGAAAATAATTAATGTGCATTCTTCGTAAATTAGGATAAGATTTTGTGCCGAAGAAAAATTTAACACATAAAAATGGGGCAGATCTGTTTTTATATTTCTTTGAGAGATGCTTTTAGTAATCCGGCATTAAAATGCGTTAATATTTTTAACTTCGAGCGACGGAACAGTGTCGTAAAAACGCTGTAAAAATTTTGCAAGAACTCTATAAATTCAATCGTAAAAGCCTCTAATTCGAGTCGTTCAAATTTCTTTCCCTTCAGACTAAAGCACTATGCAAGAAATTTTCAATGAAAATTTTTGGCTCTGACTTCGACTCAGGAACTCTTTAATCAATTCCTTAAGATTCGCGAGATTCTTGTAAAGAAACACTCGTAAACAATCCCTGAATCATAAGCAATTAAAAACCTTGAAATTCTCATAAATTAAACTTCAAGGATACGAGAATAAACAGAACGGCTTATTTCCTCTGCTAATTTTAAATAGCTTCTACTTCGGCAAAAATTTGACGATTAAAACTAGCTAGTCAAACAATTTAATGTTGAAACATCAAACATGGCAAAAAATTATAATCTAATTTAAATTTATAAAGGTAAAGTCTTCTCGAGTATGCGACACGAAATACTGCGTTATTTAGCGAACTATATTCTTGCTGCCAGCTAGGACAACCAGAATTTTTATTTAAATACAAAATAAAAGTACACCACTTTTTACAATTGGACGGTTTAGTGTTTCTTCGTGAGCGAAGTTGGATGTACCAACATGAGATAATTGCATCCCAGGCTGCATCATCGAGGATCAGGCATTGACCTCCATTACCGAATTCGTGTCTCCCGATCATCTCGCCTGCGCGTGTGTGCGACTCGGTTACATCAAAGACTTTCGTTTTCGCGTGTATCTGCTTATACTTCAAGAGAAAGGATCCAGATGCTACTGTCCGAAAGGATATGTTCGTGCCGACACGAGTCCTTCGACTTATGACCTCTTTTTCTACCCGAGAAATCCACAATCGTAGATACGTATTAGAGATTTGTAGTCTTCGAAAAGAAAGCGACTCGACTGATTAAGCGAATCGCGACACGTTTCGTCTTTCTGTAATTTTACGCGATTCCATAAAGTATATATAAATTGTACCTGATATATTTAAATTACGCCGAAGATAACAAAGCGTTTCTCGTAAAACGGGAATATATTTTATCCGGGAAAATAGCCGAGAATGCAGTAGCGCAATCATCCTGTCGCACGGTCATGATAAATGATAAATGAACTTGCGTATTCGGCTTACGTTGCGCCCGTCAAGGATCCACGGATTTGTTACACGCTGGCTGAATTTACGAACGGTGTGCGCGAAGTAACGAAAACTCACACAACGGGATCACCGGGTCAATGGAATGCGGCGAAAACTGACATCGTATTAGGCGGTTCCCGCGCTTCTCCGCTAAGAGAAAAATTTATGATCGACTTAGCGGAGGGAAATTTTATCTTTCTCCCGGCCTCCGCGCGAAGGATAATCCTTTGTGGCTGGCGTGTTTGCCTTGCGAGATTTACCTTGTCGCCTTCAATATTTTACAGAGTGATGTTCAGTGCGATGAAGTTACCCTTCAAACGCGCGCACGAGTGTCGGATCTTGAGCCACGTTCTGAATTTTCTTAACCAGCAATTTATTTAACTTCCATAAACTAATCTTTAATTATTCAACAGCAACTTATTGACGCCAGTTGAGAAATTCAGAAATAAAATAAATGTAGAAACGACCTTACCGGCACTTCTTTATTATATTATAAATTCACAACGTTTCGACTACACTGAGAAAAATTTCTATCGGATAAACCAATTAAATAGTGTTTCCGGCGGTTAATTTTTCCGATTACGTTTTCCGATTAAATTATCGATACATCCGATGAAAATTATCCGATGAAATGCAGTTACCGATGAAATTATATTGAAAAACCGATCATATTTTTTATCGGATATACAATTTAATTGGCTATATCCGTTTGGTATTATGTAATTGGATTATCTGATTATATTTCAATCGGACATTTTTCTCATTGTCAGTGTAGCCATGTTGTTCAGAGAAGTCTCTTACGTTTGACATAATTTTATATCTTTAACTTTGACGAATCGTGTAAGCTTCTATTTTTATAAACTAATCAGAAACTCTTCAGGGTCGCCAGCAAAAATTAAAAACATATAATTTGGTTGACCATATCTGGCAATTTTTATGATTTAGTATCGCTACGTTTCGACCATGGGTTTTGGTCCTGAGCAGTCATGTTTTGTCAGTGCTCAAGATAAGTTCACGTAATATTTTAGGATTATAATGACCATCCTCGCAACACCACTAAATACACATGATCCTATGCACGATTAACACAGTTACACTCGCTTGAAAAGGACCAAAACCCATGGTCGAAACGTAGCGATACTAAATCATTAAAATTGCCAGATATGGTCAACCAAATTATATGTTTTTCTTCTATTTTTATGTTTTACTTTATATATAAAAAAAATACTTAATTTTAATTTTAACTCCTGCTACGTAAGACCGTATATTCTCCTAGCTTACATATAGTTTTTTTCTGTTCTTCAGACATTTGCGGGTACTTATGTAAGTTTGTTGCCTGAAGAGGGACCCGTATTACTGGCCGAAACGTTGTGAATTTATAATATAATAAAGAAGTGCCAGAAAGGTCGTTTCTGCACTTATTTTATTTCTTAATCTTTAATTAATTTTCGAAAACAGTCTATTCAGTTTATCTATAAACACGCAGCTATTTTGGCTACGCTGATCTCGGGTTTTGACAGCCTTAGGTAAGCGCATGCCACACGTGCTTACTTTGTGATCCCCGAAGGGGCAGACTCGGTTGAGATACACACGAATTTGCTTTCGCAAACGCAAGGTGAATATTAAGGATTTTTATTGGCCGTATATTCATCAGTAATTATAATGACAAATGAAAAATCTCTCGCGTAATCGGTCATCTGACATTCCAGGTAGAGCGACAGTTCGAAAACTGGAGAAAGAATTCTCGAACGTGTGTGGGCGCGCGCGTGTGTGTGGGGTCCCTGATATTTCTGAATACATTCGACTTTCGCGTAAACTTCGAGAGACTTTCGATAAACACGAATTTTATTCAGGAGGTATTATACTGCTAATTTTGCGGTCGTCTGGGCGTCGCGCCCCACTATCAGTTTCATCGAAAATGTCGCAACGTACGTATGTGTCAACATATTGGCTAGAAAACTATTAATAAGAGGGAGATGTTCGTATCTAGCAAGGTTTCGGCAATAGTATATATATAAAAGGCGTCTCCTCTGCTTCGATTTTATAACGGGACACGCCAGCCACCATCAGCATCATGAACGCCTTGGTAAGTCTTAACGAAATTGAATGAAGAAATTACCGACTCACGCTGTTGCTGCTTTTCTTACAATTTTTATCGTGCACTTTTTAATTGAAAAACGCCAAATGTTTCCGCCACATGGGCAAACGAATTCGTTTTGAACTGCTGCCGAGAATTATTATATTAAACGCCGATTGTGCCGCAAACGCAAGAATCGAATTCTGACGCGTTGTAATTGCAAGATGTTACACAATCCGTCTAATAAAATTCCATGTTCCTGCAAGGAACATTTCTTCCCCCTCCCGTATTGATCGCAAAAGCAATTTCTTCCAGACCGCCGCACTTTTCTGCGTGCTCGCAGTGGCTGCGCTCGCCGCGCCCCCGAATTTCGGACAAGATTTCATCCCCATCGTGGCTTCGAGCATGGACGGACCGAATCCGGACGGTTCATACAGCTACAGCTACCAGACCGGAAATGGCATCCAGGTGCAGGAGCAGGGCCAGCTCACCAAGATCTCCAAAGACGAGGACGCTAATCGCGTTCAGGGATCCTTCAGCTACACCGATCCCGATGGCAACCCCATCGTCCTGAGCTACATTGCCGATGAGAACGGTTTTCATCCCGGTGGTGAGCATTTGCCGGTCGCGCCTCCGGTGCCTGAAGCCATCCTAAGAGCCTTGGAGTACAACGCCCAGCATCCCGAGGAGGACAATCTGTAGAAAACAACGTTACAGTACACATCGTTCAGACTGAAATCTCGGTGATCCTGCGATCTTATATACTCAGTGCAAATAATTTCGCGTGCGAAATTACCATCTCGTTGATATAAAAACACCGGGCGTAGAATATAAAATACTTGTCTTGAAATCTTGCGAGAAGTTTGCTTCAAGTGAGAGAGTAACGAATTGCCGATTTAAAATAATGTTTTTCACTTATCTACCGCGCAATACTAGAGTTCTGTCCATAGACATAGTAATACTAGACCGAGCATGAGACGCCAGACCTGAGGCTCATGCAGGTAGAAAAGGATAGAAAGTAGGTGCCGTCCACTTTTCTCTTTCTAACGAGAGGAATGAAAAGACTTCATTGCTTAAAAGAGAACATGCTCGGTCTAGTATTACTATGTCTATGGTGCTATCTGTCATACTTATAAATAATGTCGAATTAAATATTTAATCCCATATAATTGGTTTAAACCGCCGAACCTATAATGTTGGAAATTAAACATGTTAAAATTATGCCTAATTTTTTTACTCATCACACTTCTAGCCCCAATTTACTATTCTGGCGCAATTCAAATGATTTAGCGAATTTCCTTTGGCGAGAACGTTGTCCCAGAGCCGAATTAGTGCAGTCAATTAGCACCTGCTGCATTAATTAAGGAACCACGTAGCGCGCGTACTGTGTACACAAAGCCACCGCAGCGGCAACGTTTATATTAAATGCTGCTCCTATCGATAAAATAAACGCGCCTGAACATGTTGGCTCGGTCACGCTTTCTTTCCTCGGCTGAAATTTATCTGGCTGTCGAGCATTAAGCACATCACGGCAGTATTCCGCTCATTAAAACGTATCAGATCGCCCATGATTTGAATACGTCGGTAATCGCAAATGAGCTCGGCTGGCTGAGTTCGCAATTATATGAATAAACACTAAGCAATATTTAATGATGAGCCGCGCGAGTAGATGACGCAATAATGATCGAATGTGGCGAAATAGCGAGAGACTTAATTGACGACGCTATCGAACATACACTCGGCGAACTTCCGTCATTCTCCAGATATTTCCACACGATTATGTATATATTTCGCGTGCCTCTTTATAGTGCATGTCCCTCACACCTTTTCGGGGGAATCGATTCAATTCTTCGATTGAGTCGCGACAAAAGTCTACCCGGGTTTACGAGTCGATAAAAAATCTGGCGAATATATTGAAATCAAGTTGAGAGCATGTGCAAATCAATAATTAAGTTGATATTTAGAAGATTTTATTATATCTAGAACATATTTCAATTGATATCATATTTAAGTAAAATCAACATCTTCGTCTATCGACTCGACTTGAATGCGATATCTACTAGATCGTCAATAATTGGTCGACACTGACATTATATCTTTTATCAAATTGCTATGCATACACACTCTCAGAAAGGATTTCTGTTACTGGGACAAAAAATATTCTCGACACCTTTATATTTCTCACAACCTCATTTAGTATAAAAATAAGGCAATATCAAAATAAAATCAATAATTCTTATTCTCCTCTATTGAATTAAAAAAGATTGACTTACTATATTGAGACAAGAGTAACTTATACAAATGTATATGCGTTTGGAATAAATTTTCCCTCCATCGTACAACGCACCAATTAAGTTGGCAGCACGATATTCGACAAAAGACTATAACAAATATGATTGGCGCTACATCGATCCTATTTTATGATACATTCAAGTGTAATAGCATTGGATTCGGAAATGTTTTTTGCGGGTGCATCTAATGGATGTCGACTATACGTCGATAAGACAGCGACAAAGTATTATGTGGATCTTCTTAGGAAATCAGTGAAGAATCTAGTCGTCATCAGATGAAACGGTCCGAAAAATGACGATCGATTTCATCATCGACTGAACCTGGTTACGCGCTGTTTCCGTAGAATCGCCGGGCGAGTACAATACTTTGCCCGGGAATATCCCCGAAGGTGGACTCTCGCAATTCCGACTGAGAAATAGCGCCGGGCGTGCAATCTCCCGGGGACGGGGCCGCGCGCGCTAATCCAAAACGAGCGGCACGAACCCTCCGCGTAGCGTGGCACACGTATCCTCGCGGATACACAAAAGCGCGCGATTTAAATAAGATAAATGCTCGCGTCTTACGGCGGGACGTGCCGCGGGTATAAAAAAGAGAATTACGACATCGCATTAGCCGGCGTCCGTTACGCTCAGGACGCCTCCTCGCTGCCGCGCGGACGATGCGCGTCGCGTCCGTCGCGGCGCCGAAAAAGAAGAAACGCCTATGCCGGATTAACGCTAATACGCGTGTCGGACAAAACTGCGTGCCGGTGCCGTCGATCCTTCACGTGGATCCTTCTACGCACATACGCAATTAATAGAGATGTAAAATACGACGACGCGCCGAACGAACGAGCATCGCTCGATTATCCGCGCCGCTCGGGAGGAGGCGATCCTTGAAATTAATTTATTCCAAAGGTATTTTCCATATTCAACGCGTATACCTGCGGCCGGGACGATTAAATCACTGGTTCGTCGCTGACGCGCTTCCAAGGAATATCGTGGATATAATGGTTTAAATTGCGCGCCGCGGAAACGTCTCTCTATCAAGCAGTTAAATGGAAAATATTTTTCGCGGCTGGACGAGCCTCTTCAATCTCGGAGCGGCACGTCTTTCCTTCCGTAAATCACTCTGCCCCGAGAGCGCGTTTTAGGAAATCCACGCTGGACGAAAGAATATCTCCTCCAATCAGTTTCCTCGACGTCCGATTTCTCTACAAATTTTCATTCATCTCCCGTATTGTACGCACTGTCCGTCGATCATCGGTCGTAGCTTAAACATTATGTTTCATATAAAAATAGACCTGAAAATTACGATGCGTACTTAATATTTATTAGTCTGCTAGAACGTCATTATAATAATCGTTCGTCGTTTTGAATCTCGTTGAATTCCTATTAATTCTTGCCTCATATCCCCCGCCTCGTGTACGTACCGATCCAAGTTCCCTACATCTTCTACGAGCCCGACACCTCGTAAGTACCCGCGCCGGAATCTGCATACGAGTCTCGCAATCAGCGGATGCAACGATTGGATGCACCTCGAAATATCTAATCACCGGCTCCGATCATCGTAGATCTCGCGCGCCCCGCCGTCACGTAGATCACGCCCCGGCTCCGAATTACTGCGATCGACAGCTCGAGATACACCGGCGCGAGCGACTGTTTGAAAAATCGCGACTAATCAATCCCGGTAATCGCGAGTGGTCCCGGACACGAGGCAATCGCCTCGCGATAGCAAACGAGACTCTCTCGCTAGAAAACGAAACGAAACGACGAAATTCCGAGGGATTAAATCTTAAACATTGTTCGCCATTTTTTTCTGCTAGATCTAATCCTTTCTTTTCACGTGAAACACGACGACAGGCAATAGGACAAGATTACAATCGTCCTCCGACAATCGTCGCTCGTGTGGAAATCTCATTATACTCGACTACATCGTATATTGTTTTTTTTTGTTGTAAGGTTCCGTCCCTTAGTCGACAAGCATCGAGCACCGTCAATTAAATGAGCGAAACCGCCTCGCGCGAAATATCTCTACACGGATCTCGGGGTCCGCCTCCGCGGGCGGCGGATATAATAGCTGGTTGCACGCTCGAGGGATCTGATCTGATCCCGATCTTCCTCCGCGCACCGTGGGCTCCTCTTCTTTCATTGCAACTGGCGCGACCTGGAGATCGAATCGTTGCACGGGCAGGACGGTTCCAAAGGTCCCGGCGGTACTTTCGCGTTTATTTTCTACAAATAAATTAAAGTAGCAGACCCCGGGATTCTGGGAGCATTGCAAACGACACTGGGAACCTTCTTCGCGGCGGAATGCTTTTTTTTTTGCTACGGATGATAGAAAGAGTAAGCTTGCTGTAATATTTATTTGTTATGCCTTGCAGCTGTAAATTTAAAAAAAAAAGCTATTAGAGAAAAAGCCTTTTATTACGTAAATTGCAGAAGCTGTAAATAATTTACGTCGGACCGTAAATTCGATTCTCGGCAGTTACATAAAAAATTCTTTGTGATCTTAGAAAAGTCGGTTCACTTTATTCAGTTGGTTATACTTCCTCGTGTCTTTTTTAACGTAATAGAGGCCCGAGGGGGATTTCGAGATTCGTCAAAGACGTCGCTGAGTCATACGGCGCGGTTATGCAACGGTAACTAGACCACCGGGTCGTCCGATTACTCTATTCGTTTCTCCCCGGTATGCAGGTCATTTCGTTGTATCGCGCCCTCGCAGAGGAGAAAGTCTTCCTCGTCACGATGTCGGCCCGCGGACTCCTCAGATACCAGTTATAGATTTTTCGACGATCCGATTGATTCCCGTATCAGCCTGTGCAATCGCGCAGTCACGATCGCGCGCTTAAGAAACGAATAAATAATCTATGGCGGAATAATAAGATGCCGCGCGGCTTCACGGCTAATCACCGAGCCTCGAAAACGCTTGAGACAATTATCTCGCGTATTCTCGGCTTTACGGTGCGACGTGGCTTCTGCAATTTACGTAACGCGATATAAAGGCAAAAGATTTATTTAGCGAATAGCTTGTTTTAATTTACAGCCGTAATTGGGAGAACTTCGGCTAAACCCTTCGACCGCGATGGCATTTTGGTGTGGTTTTACGCCGCTGATAAATTTTCCGTTCCGCAAGCCTTTTATGCGTCTCGCTGAAAGCATTATGGACGTGACGACGTGCGTCTTTAATGCATCCCGTAAAGAACTACGAGCGTTACATCTTTTTTTCAGCCGGAGTTTCGCCTCGGCGCGATTAGGCGAGACGATTCTCGACGCGCGCCTCTTGCAACATAATGTCATAGATCATAGATCGCGGATCGTACGACTCCGCGGATCATGAATTATCCAGTCATGAAGGTCCGCAAGAAAGCGCGGATTTTTGCCTAAAAAAGAAATTTCAATTCGCGAAAGGACAAAACGGATACGCAGCTG